CTGTTTTCTGCTTTTGTAGGTTCTTTCCTGTGTGATGAAAGGGTCCCCCCCCCCCCCCGGAGACTGTTCCAAGCAGTAGTAGTCGACGCTTTCCATTTGGGTCGCCGCGAAAGATAAAATTCCTATCGTAGGACCAAGCCACGATCTTTGTGCGTAGCTGAAACGTGTCGATCTAGTCGTGCGTTGTCGCTGTTGTGGACGAAACAGGCGTTGGCATGGTTGGCTCTCGAGTCTGCGACGTTCTTCCATGCACATACTGTATCATGCGGTCGCGGGCTTCCCGGCAGCCGGTTCCATGGTGCTTGCGTGTACTTTGTGTGCGAACAGAAAGTACAGCAGTTTTTAGCAAGCAGCAGACGGCAGCGTTGATCATTCAACGGTCTCATCAACACAACTGGTGCTGCCAATTTTCGCCCTCTGGTTGCAGAACAGAGCACCCGCGACCAGCCAGCCTCCGCCTCCTCCTTCTCTTCCTCCCACCAACCTTGCAACCCTCATATCAAGCCTTCAGCTTTGGTGGAACACGAAAGCCACCAAACCAGCCTCCCACATCACTCCCTAGCCCTGAACCATGAGCTGAATTGTCAATGGGAACGGGTGCTCCCCGGTCTGCTTACCCTCGCGTTTTCTGCTGTGTGTGCTGGTCGTGCTGTTGCAGGAAGGAAGACGGCACACAAGCGGAGCAAGCCCCTATCCTTGCCACGGAAGCACCCCCACCAGCACAGGCCTACGCGGTAGAGGCGTCTCCCCCCTACACGACGAAGGTGCGCTGCTGCTGCTGCTGCTGCTGCTTTACACAGCGAGCAGTCTCCACACGTTCGTTCCAGCTCCCCTTCCGTGCGGTTGCACAGCAGTCTCCACACGTCGTCGTTTCAAGCCCGTTCTGTTTTTGGAGGCGGTAGAAGTTGGATGGCTACAGAGCCTCGCGCTTGTAGAGTCGTGTTGGGTACGTTATTGTAGTGGGTTGTTGCCGCCAGAGGCTTGAAGAAAAGGTCTTGAGTCAACTTTTCTTCGCGCTTTTAAACCACCCGGTACCCAACACTGAATAGGTTTTCTTGTGTCCCAAGGTGTTGGTGACCGTCAGAGAGTCGCGAGCTCATTTGTTGTGGACCGGTAATGGTGGTTGTCACCGGTGCTGTCAAGGGAGAGCCTACGTGGAAATGCTGGTGTACGAATGACGGGTAGCGGCGAAGGTGGACCGAACGAGCCCACGTCGTCGCTGTCGTTGTTTTGATTGTCACGGGGGACCAGCAGCAGTCGCTTCAAAGCCAGCATTCACCCAAAAGACAAACAACGAAAGCATGGGTCTAAATAGAGCGGTTCAAACGAACCGAGCGATGATTCGGCGAGGTTCAACGACTCTCTGTGCGCTCAGTGGTAGACTTCGCACATCCGCCGCGGTTTATATGAGCGCCCCTCTCCACTGCTTCGCCCTCCCTCGTCGGTATCACTAAACTTCCACCTACTTCTATCTTGCTCAGCGTGTGGCGAAACGAAAACGATCCACAACGGTACGGTTATGCCATCGTTACAAATCCTTTTTTCAACGTCCACGAAGACGATATCGCGCGCTCGCGTGTCTGCCCCACAACAGTACTAGTACACGTTTAAGCCATCGCTACAATCCCTTTGCTTAAACGCCAACGACGATGATATCGCTCGCGCGCGTCTGTCCGCCCCCTCCTGCCCCCTTCGTCGCTGCTGCGCTTGTGTTTGTTTGTTTATGGGTGCTGTGCCGCTCTGGGGGACCGCGCGACAGCAGAATACCGTCAGCTCGTACGCGGACAAGAGCACGTGACAGGACTACCGGATGAACCGAAGGACGAAAAAAAAAGAACGGAGGTTAATAATCAACGCACAACCCGCTCAAACGCCTCTTGGACCTTTCGCCCGCGTCTCAGCCCCCTCGCAGCCAACCTGCTGCAAGAGACCCTTGGCGTTCCATTTATTTTTGACGGCGTTTTCTTTATATCTACTCCTCTACGTCACGGTTTGTAGTATTTTTATTTTTCTAATTTTCGCTTCTGTTTTTCTTTTCTCTGTTTTTAATTTTTTTTTTGTACGTCATGGCTTCCGTGGGTGTCAGGAAAAGACAACGCAGGTACCTGTGTGTGGCGTCGGTGGTAAACGTAGCAGCACCGGTCTTGAGGCGCGGAATCCCTGCCCGAGTTTTCCGATGCATTTGGGTGGGTGGGGGGGTGCCTCTGTTGGCTCCCCGAGTTTTCTTTGTGTTTTGGTGATGGGTGGGGGTAGTGTTTTTTTGTTATATGGATTCGTGCTGAATCTATTCCGCCTCTGTTGGCTCCCCAGTTCTTCCTTGTATTTTGGTGGCGGGGGGCGCCGGGGGGGGGGTACTTGTTTTGATTGTTGTGCGCTCACCGCTTGCGTTTTTGTCGGGTGCTTGACGGCTAGCGAGAGGTGGGGGTTGCGGGCATGGTTGGGTGGCTTGCTTCCAGGGAAACGACCCCTGTCACGTGCGCGTATGAGTACCGTAGCACGCATAATTTCGTTTTGTCGGAGAGAGGTGTGCGCGGCGTGTGGGGTGGAGGTTCGATGTCCATCATTGCTGTCTCATCAACCTCGATTAGGACGGTACTATCGCGTGCTCTATTACATATTGACGGTACTTTTATGGGCAAGTCTTAATTCCTCGTGGTCAATGATTTACTTACGACGACGGTGCACCGATGGCATGCGAAATTGAAAGGCTAATGTTGTTCAGACTCGAACGTTTTGTTTTTCTGTTAAGTTGGAGGTGCGCTTTGCCCTGCCTTTCTTCATTTCTCATTCCCCGGTTCTTGGTGAACCGATCTTCTTGGTATTTTCACATCTTAACTTTGCATACATGCCGCTAATTACGAATGATTCTTTTCGTGCTAAAACAAAACAGCTTCATGTCTAGAATCCAGGAGTACACGGTCTTACGACCCTTGGTCCCAGCGTCGTCGCTGAAGGGCATATTTTCGCGGTGATTTCCCCCCGTACAGAGAAGTCGACAGGCCAAAGCCAGCGTGCATCGTTGGGGTGGAGCAAGCAGCAGTACGCCTGCCAGCTCGCTCGTCGATCCGAAACGAGTGGGAGAGGGAATACTTGATTACCTTCCAGTAGGTGGCAGGGGCACTATTGGTGAAATTCCGCTGGCACCCACATGCCCTGTGTTATCTCGTTTCGCTTGTTGCTGCGTTTTCCGTCGTCACACTTTTAAGTTTCCCCTGTTAGAAACGCGGCCTTCAGTCCTACCACTATTCATACAGTGTCGCGACCCGCTCGCAAGAAACCCCTCTTGTGAGCAAGACTCAGCCCCTTATTGCCGCAGCGATAGGACCTGACTTCTTGTTTTTGGCAGAGAATGTTTACGATGTTTTTCTTGCTTTCCTCAGAACAAACGATGAAACCATCGGATGCATGCAAACAAAACGCGAAGCGAGGCCATCATGATACTAAGCGTCTCCGTGCTCCCAGCGGCGTTCACATTGCACCCCAACACTGCCCCCGCCTCGTTCAATCGTAAGAAGCTCCACCTCTCTTTACGCTAAATTGCATGCGCGAATCACGGGCAAGAGAGGGCGCCCCCCCCCCCCGCAAGAGCTTTTCAGTCTAAACAAGAGAGCATCTAGCAGTATGCAACTCCCGTTCAACACTGAATTGTAGCAGCTGGCGCGCAAGTGTCGAAAAAATCTCCTGCGTCTGTTGTTCGGGTACCGCCCGCGTGTTAACCTAGTAACCTCAAGTCCACCAACTACAGTAAATCGACTTCACCCCCACAAAGGATTTCGACGAAGACCCCTCGAGGTAGCGTCGACCTCATGCATCGGGCCCGACTGTATCCCACGATGCCCAGAGCTTTCTCGCTCGCATACCATACCCGTATAGCATCGCCTGAGCAACGAACGAAGAAGCGCTAACCTGTATTGTCAGCAACCCTCCCCCCGCACACAATGCTCACACCCACCCTTCACACCCACTCGTCACACCACTCTCATCACACCACACCCTTCTTTGCCTTCCACAGGCTGTCGGGGGGTGGTTTTCAACTGAACGCCAAATCCCCCCAAGATTATCGGTCGGCGTCGTTGCACCCCGCCCGCCCTCGCCCCCAATACTGAGTGAGCTTTCCTCCGCCCCTTTTGGTGGTTCCCCATCCATCCTGGCAGCTGAAATCAAAGAACGAGCACAAAAGAGACCTGATGGTAGGGGCGTCCACACCATGATTCTCCTCTCTGCTGCCACACGACATCTTGTAGCTCTTAACTGTATCAACTTTGTCGAAGTACCCCAGTGCCGAGGGCTGATTGAGCACGAACACCAGAGGGAGGGCGATTTCGCCTCTTCTTTCTTGACCGCGCACTTCGACTCTAATGGACAACAGTACAGCAGTAGTTAAGTTTGAACCAAGTATCAAAAAAAGACAGGCTGGGGAAAGGCAGCCACTCTCGATGCCGGCACCTACTGAACTGATCCGCCTGATTGACGTTTCAGCAGAACTCTCCCTATGACAGTCGGAAGAGAAACCGCGCGAGCCCTGACCCCACCGTCTTGACACATCCCCGCGCACCAAGCCACAAGGACTCTATTGCGCACCTCCTCGCCACTGTTGCGAAACTTCTTCGGTTCTCATGATGGTTTTGTGTCTCCAGAGGCCGTCATCACGATCAAGACTCGCTTCTGACCTCGGCATCACGGTGGAAACACTACCACCCCCCCAGCCCCAGCGGAAAAGTCCATACCCGGGACACTTCCCTCGAGCGCCGCGAGCGCTTGGGCTGGCGAAGATCCTCCCGAACCTCGGGACGGTCGTGCACCGTTCCAACCAACGACGGGTCGTCGTTATCGCTAGCCGCTCCGGCAGCAGAGCCCACCACAGCCCACGCCGCCGCAGAGGCAACCGTGGCTGCCGCATTGGGGGTGCTCGTGAACACTGATTGACGAGGATGGTCGTGACGAAGACATCTGGGTCCTCCTGGGCGGGTCGCGGTACCGAGGTGCGTGTCGTTGGGGCCTCAATCGGAGGCGGCGTTGTCGTCGTCGTCCGACGACGGCGATGGCCAATGGTTGAAGTCCGACCTAGATTCTAGCCACGTCAGGTAGCTGCAGGTGTTGTTGTTGTTATTGTTGTTGTTGCTGCTGAGGGGGCTCGAGTGGACCCTGCCGGAGTTGATCGCAACTCCACCAGGTCCTGCAGCGCCATTCGCGCTAACACTGATACCTCCACCAGCATGGTCACTACCTGCTACCCCGGCACCATCGGCGTCGCCACCACAGGCATCTTCAGCGCCGGCAACAGCAGTGTTTGCGCCGTCGTTGATGGAGCCGCTGGGGGCAGCGTCATTGCCGGATGTGTGCGCAAAGCTTTCGGGGATGGACGTCGAAGAGCCGCAGGCAACGGTAGCCGAAGAGTCGCTGAGGATGGGAGAAGCCGAGCCGGTGGTTCCTCCCTGGCGCGAGGAGCCCGTCAGGGGAAGATGCTACGTTTTGGTTTCGGTGTTTCAAGTTGGTCCGTGATGGCATCAAAATGTATGTATGTGGTTCGTTGTGCGAGGCATTTCGGAGAAACGCCTCAAGACTGTCCACGACATACTTGAAACCCATCAGCAAGGCAGGCATTCGAGAAAAAAGTCACATTCGGCAACGACATCGTCCGATCTCAGTTGAAATGTTGTGGGGTGGGAATCATGTCATGTTTCCTTTGAACGACTGCCGAAAGCATTCATTGTGCTCGACTCGCCTAAAAGCGCAAAAAAAACTCACCGCAGTAGTGTCGTTGTCGTTCCTTCCTGGAAACGCGAACTCGTCGCGCTCTTCCGTGTGGCCTGCATGCAAGACGACCCGTAGGGGAAAAGGAAGGCATGATTGCTAACCTAATCGCTTGTACAACGGGTTGTCGTCGTTTGCTTTGGTCGAAATGTTTTAGGCCAAACGCTGCTGCACCAAAATTGTTGACTCACTGACGTCCCTCTCCCCCACCGCTGTGCGTCGAGAGGCGGGTTCGACACAGGGCTCTTCCTCAGACCCGTTGCCGCCGCCTCTGCTGCTGATGTTGTCGCTGCGGTTGTCGTCGTTGTCGATCCTTGGAAGCAAGTTACCCCGTTCCTCGCCGTTGCTTTTCCCGCCGTCTCGCCTCCCAAACACGCCTGCTTCGTCGTCCCGGTCTTGTCTGCTCTCTTGTCCTAACCCGTCTTGCGGTTGCCGTCTCCGTGACACGCTTGCCAGAGCCGGAGCACCTGCCATCCCAGCTGAGGCGCTGCCGCCGACCACAAGCCTGGCGACCGCGCGCAGCTGCCGCAGCGTCGGCGATGACTCGAGGGCTGCCAGTCCCTGCACTGCCAACGCTTGCTCTGGCACCAGCGAGGTGTACCGAGACGCCGCTCGAGAGACTGCCATGGCCGCCTGCGCCGCACTTCTGGTTTCCGGGTCGGTGGCTGGGTTCCCGACGCCGTGGCTGCTATTGCTAATGCTTTTGTTGTTGTTGCTACGCCTGCTGTATGAGGGCAGGAGCGGTGAGCACGGGACAGAGCTAGGGGCGGCGGCTGCAATACCACCACCACCACCACCATCATCAATACCACCAATACCACCGTTTGGTGACACCCTTATCCTACGGCTGCCCAAGACCGACAGCAAGTGCCCGAGCGTGGTGATGTTGCCGACGCCGTCACCCGTACCATCGTCGTCGTCGTCGTCATGGTCGAGGTTGTCTCCGCCGCTCGATGTCGCTGCTCCTTGCACGTCACGATTCGAGCTAGATTCTTGGGCCGCGGCTTCTGCCGCCCCGCCGGTGCGCACGCCGGCGTTGTTCCTGCTGTTGCTGTTGTCCGCGTCACTGTTTCCAGAGCCATCCCCACCCCCGTCGCTGCTGACGCCGCTGCTGCTGTTGCCTATGTTCACAGTCGATCTCCATCCGCGACCACCGACCGCGCCGCCGCCGCCGCCGCCGCCGCCGCCGCTGTTGTTTTCCACTCTCACGTCAAGGCTTGCCTCGCCGACACGGTCACCGACCCCGCCTCCGCTGTCACCAATCGACCTCGCCCCCCCGGCTCCTCCAACGTAGGACCCCCCGCCGACGCTGCGGTGCCCCCTGAAAGCTGAGGTAGACTCCAACAACGCCCGGCGGTCGGCCTCGATCGCTACCCGCCGGTCTTCAAGGTCCGTCGCAAGAGAACGCGGCGACGACGGCGGCAGGGGCGAGGGAACTTGCGGGGTAGCAGGGGGAGGGGGGGGGGAACTCGAGAACACCGCGATGGCTACCTGTTGGTCCACGATGGCTTCCACCTGGTGTTGGATTTCCGGCGGAGGGGGGCGGTGGGGGGTCGGGTGGGAGGGGGAAGAGGAAGGGGGTGGTGATGGAAACGGCTGCCGCGGAGAAAAGGACGGGGGCACACGGAAACGATTGCCGCGACAAAAGGGGACTGCGAGCAGAATTTCCCGACGTCATCTATGGCGCCTCCAACAGACGGCCAATGCCAACAGCATGCCCTACATAACGCTACCGAAGCTTCAAGCCTTTGCTATTACCCCCCACCTGGTCTGGCTGTGCGTCAGGCACCGCCTGTGCCGCTTCCGCTGCCGCCTCCGCCTGCTCCTGCGCGTGCAGGAACCCCCCTGGCGCCTGTCTCAAGAAGAAGGACGAGCGATGTGCGTGTCAGGTAGCGCAATCTTGTCGCCCTAGAGTAGAATTTTCTTTGCTGCTACTCTTACTCCTGCCTCCCTCGCAATATCTTGCTTGCCCTCGCCCGTGCCTTCTCAGCCGAAAATCCCCCGCTTCAAGGGGGCGCAGAAAGCCTCCTCTGCGATTCATATGAAAGTACACAAGTTGGCGCCGTATTGGACCCTAGGAAACTCCCGATATCGGGAGTTCACAACCGGGGTTTGTGGGTCTTTTGATTTTCCCGACGTCGGGGCACGCTCTCTGTTTGGCACTATAATAACGCTGGCGCGCACGCTAGAGATTGTACACGTCCGTTCGCACCGTAGAAATTATAACCGGTCTCGGTGGAGCCTAAGGCTCAAATATGTTTTGGTTACGGCATCGATCTCATGTAAGTTTACCCGAGCCCGTGGTATTGAGAACCGCGCACAATTCTCCTTTTTCGTGTGGTGATGCATGCCTCAAGCATGATGAGCGAAAAACGCATGGGAAAGTAACAAACCATTAGGGTCAGAGAGGTGTTTTTTGGAGCGCAAACGCTGTAGGCAGCGCTCCGGCGGAAGAGCGGAAGAGTCGATCCGATCAAGACCCGGGAGGCGGTGAGTGGGACGGCCTCTGGGGCTGTCTCCCCCTCACCTGAGGGTGTGGCGCCATGGCGTTCTGCCTGATTTGTTCCCGGCTAACCTTCTTGTGGACGCGAATCTTCTCGGTCGTGATGTCGGGCTTCTGCGCTCGATGCCCGGTGTAGTATACCCATCAGCGGCAACAACAACAGCACGGGGCATCATCGGTACGGCAGCAGCAGGGCGACCGCCAGCAATGCTGTCGCCGTTGGCGACGGGAACTCGAGGGGACGGCGTTTAACACCACTCCGACACTTGGAGAGTACAAAATTTGGGCTGAGGGTTAAAAAAAAACTCGACGGAGCTCCTCCTGTTTTGTCCTTCCTCCTACTACGTGACCCTTGTTCAACTGCTGGAGAACGTCGCTTTCGCTGTATGGGCGCGCACTGCCATCTATACCCCTGCCAGTCGGTGAGCGCGTGCTTCTTGACCATCGTCAAATAAGAGGAAGGAGGCAAGGTGGGAAGACAAGGTCTCCTGTTTTGCTCAGATGAAATCCTTCCGTCGAAATGCTGTATCCGCAACGTGAATAACACGCGTGTGATAGGCCGCAAGACAAATGACTCAAAAGCCTATCAACATGTCCTGCTGCGACAATTTACAGCACTGCAGTTGTTGTCAACCTTAAGATACTGTAATGTCAGTGACTACCGTGGGATGATAACGAAGTCTTCCGGCGATTCGGGAGATCTCAAGCCGCCCGATCAAAGCTAACGCAACCTTTTTTTCTGTGGAAAGGAAGGCTCACCGGGAAGGGCTTGCCGATAGTAGACTTCCTCTTCGTCCTCTTCAGCTGGGCTTTCGTCAGAGGTTTCCGGTTAGCCTGCCCCGCGGATTGACCACCCGAGAAAATTGCACGGAAAGGACAAGAACAATCGACGACGAACAAGTGAAAAAAATTGCATGAGACGCCAGTGGTATGCAGTTAGTTGACAGGCAGGTGCTAAATAGGCACCCGGTGTAAACAGCAGGCGCTGCAATGCTGCACACCAACCAACCAAAAACAATGACCGTCCGAACAAAATAATGTGCGTATCGATTTTGAGAGATATGTAGGCATGGTAAATTCTGGGTTCAATTCATATGGGTTTTTCGATCAAAGACTAACACATAGAGAACATGTTTTAGCAAATCTATCCCCAAAAAACACAAAGAATACACCCAAAACATCTTCGTTGGGTAAGTGGCTTTCGATTAGAGGGGGGGGGAATGGAACCGCTCGCTGTTGCAACAGCCACGAGGAAACTCGACCACCACACCCGCGCGGCGGTCGGATCCAATAAAATAAACATTGAGGGAAAAAACAGACAGAGGGAACGTGACTACGAAGCACACGAAACAGAACGGAAACAGTGGACGCAGCTGACATGAAACTCTCTAAGCCGTGTTCACATTCTTTTCTAGGGCCTCCGCCAAGCTGAGCGTCTTCTTGATGTGGCACACCTTCGCGCGGCATGTTGGGCAGCTGTTCTGCTGCTTCTTGACCCACTGGAGAACGCATTTCAAGCAGAACACGTGTCCCTGCGGCCGACAACAGAAAAACAAGAAGAAGAGAACAACCATCAGAATCACCGCACACATTGCACGAAACCGCTGTCTCTGTTTGAGTGAAATGGAGTGCAAGTGGTACATAGAGAGAAGCATCTTGAAAAAAAAAGACAACAATACGCAGCTGAAGGCCCTAGCGGCAGAAAACCCCGGACGTGTTCCGCGGCCTGTACGTGTGTGGCTTCGTGCGCCAATGAACAATCGCATAGTCCGGAGGTTTTCGGGTGAAGATTTCAAAGGCTTCATGCAATGCAGCCAATAGACTGCACCAACAGTGGCAAAACTGGCCAAAACCGCTAGTACCAAAACGAGATCGTAGCAGGAAAAAACAGAAAAATCCTTTTCATGTAGCTCAGTTTTGATATGACACAGATCAACCTTCCGCTCCAAATCAGTAGCACCCGTATAACAGTTCGTTTTTGCTACGCTATGCGCTCTGCCGTGCTGGGGTGCTTCGTGTGCTATGCTCAGCTAGACCACCAGCGAAACGCCGCTTGCGTACTCGTGTTGCTTGGGCTCCGAGGGTTTAACTGTATTCGCTCGCGCTTTGACGATGCTTCTCTCTGTATTCCTCCAGGAAGGCGGTCCACTTCGAGACCCTTCGCTCAACCCCGAGGCGACATTTCGCACTTTAAATTGTTCGAATGGACTTCGTTTGGTAGTCTTGTGTTCCCTGCTTGCGCTCCTTCGACCATGAGACCGTTCCTCGTGCGATTAGACACACACCCATCCGCACTAATGGGCGAAATCTTGCCGCTGTGTAAATGGGACGTTCCGTGGAAGGAACTCTCTACCTGCTGTGTGCCAACCACGCCCCTTGGATTCAAACCACACAAACACACCCGTGCCGGATTTTTCACTCACACATTTCACGATGCCTCTGTTTTCCTCCGGCAGGAGGTCCTGGCAAATCGGGCAGCGGGCCTTATCATCGACCTTTTCAGGGTTCTTCCGCTTCGTCCTCGGATGGGCCGCGTTGACGGCATTATCTGCGCATGTACAGCATGGCGGTAGTAGCAACCGTGGAGAAACAGTTGGGGACAAGGAAGGATGTTAAGCACTTGCCGTGCAAAGATTCGAAACGTCGTGGTTCGGCTGCGCGCTGCACGTCTCATTACCACGTGCGCCGATGAGACATGCTCCTACCTGCCGGTCTCGCTTAGAACATATCAAACAACTGCCATCTCCTGCGTGTCATGTTACGGAACATGGGGTATCGACTCCGGTCGATGATCTTGGGGTTGAACCAAATGCTGGTCGTCAGCCTGACCGTATGAGAAATCAAGGACGGTCTAAAATACAAGTGAGCACTCCTTCGTTTTTTGTGACCCCAGATACCCTGTTCTTACCTGTTGCCGTTGCGGCAGCTCCGGCGTCCTGGTTGTTGTTGTCAAGGCTGTTTGGATCGTTGCTTTCGCAGTCGTTACTGTCGCCGTCTGAATTGTTGTTGGAGGCGCTGACGTTAGTATCTGTGCCGAGAAAAGGAGGAAGTAACTAGGACAGTGCTTGTAGCATAGGGGAAAAGCCCCATTTTTCAATTCCACACCACCGCATGCCAATGGGGACAACACTGCTGTGCTCTACAACAGAGCAGGAAGCGACAACACTGGCATCATAGTTTGAGGCAGCATAAGGAGGGGGAGGTATGCAACCTTGTTACACATCCTGCCCGCAGGAGGTCTAGACTAAATATTAGCGAAGAGAAACATGTTACGTGTTTTATCCTGCTTTGTGGGGGCTGTCGATGTCAGTGTTGGAGATGTTTTGGGTCCCTGTTGAAATGAAGAAACATAATAGATCCTTTTTTTTGTTTTTTTGGTCTTCACTTCAAATCAGCGCTCACAGCACTAGTGCCGTTTACTCCAACCCGTGGTCACACAGAAGAGCCCCTTTCTACCCTCCCCTCCTGCGGTACTTCGCCTTCAATTTTTAATGCGAGAAGAGTTCAGCACTCTCTTCCCTCTGTGTACACACGAACTAGCGCTATCCACTAGTCCAGAAGCGGAAGCGAGAGAAAAACTCACTTTGCAAGAAAAGCTCGCTTACGCCAGGATTCGAACCCCTGACCTGACCTCTAGAAGGTTTCGAGGATACCAACTAGACCACCGGGGCGCATCCTACCCCCACGGCAATAGTCATTGCCTCTCGGGCGACAGAAAAAAGGGTTGTATTCGCGTTTTGAGCAGCGAAGCTGTTAGCACAGACAAAAACGACGAAAACAAAAAGAAGAAACGCAGAGGTGCAAGAGCACACAATTGTGGTAGGGAAACCCGCCATAGATATGATTGAACCTTCTCGCCTTCGTTTGCTAGCGCATTATGCTGCTGCTGCTGCTGCTGCTGCTGCTGTTGCCGCTGGGCCAGCAAAGTTGGTGCGGGGTAGGTCCTGGTGATCTTTGACGGGTACGGCGTCGGCGCGGTGCCAGGGTAGTACTTGCAGTAGCCGGGATCGACCAGGTGAGACCTGGGTTCATCGTCTCTTCCTCCCGTCCGCCTCAGAGGGTCCATGTGGTAGATGTTTGAGTGCTCGGCGACTGAGAGGAAGCGGTGAAGCTGTGTCGTTCTTGACGTCGGTGGTGGTATGTCTTCTCGGGTCCTTGACCGGGGACGAGGCTCCACCGTCCTACAACGTTGAGGAGAGATCCATCAGTGCGCTGATCGAACTACTATTTCCCCTTTAAAGATTCAAAGAGAAGCCACGGAGCGGTGTACTGTTGGTAGCGCCACCAACCTCTCTTGTTGTCGTGTTGAGTTCCTGGAAATAACTCTTCTTGTCTCTCCCGGGTGCCGGGGGGCATTGAGTCGTTTCATCATGCGTGCTCCGACATGAGGAGCATGTCTGGACGAAACGTCACACATTCAACACCACCAAATCGCACGAGTGTTTTCACCACAATGTACTGTAGTTGTCCCTGGCTCCAGGTAGGACGGTGTGAACCGGTCGCGTTTCAATGTACTCCAAAGTATATAGGAGCCTCCTATTAGTCTAGGCGCATAGGGGATTCGTCTATTAATAGCAGCTTCGCTCGCACATGTTCATGCTTTCAAAGCACAGCACAAATTTCACGTGTGTTTTCATTGATCGGCCGAACTGCGCAAAGATGCTAATGAAAGAGACACCCAACACGGAAGGTTCGGTGCCTCCGACGAAAGTCCAGGGTTGACCCGTGGCCCCGAAGCGGATTAGCATGCGTTCTGAATTGTGTGTTCCAGGTGATGGGTAAAAACTTGGTGGCCTAGACTACATTACGTGCTTGAGGTGTATTAATATTTCATACACACACGTATCTTGTCCGTGGCAAGAGTGCGGGTTGTAGTTTTTTACCGTCCGTCCGCAACGGTGGTTAAGCGAACTTGGACTATAGGCCAGGAGCCGATCCCAACCATGTTGTAGCTTCTAGCGACAGAAGAGAAGGATAGAGGGGAGGAAGGGGCAGAGAACACACGTTTGTGGTTTCGAACCCAACGGTGTTCGAAAGCTGCAACAGTAACAGCAAAGCCCTGGCATCCTTACTAGGTATCGGGTCGGTTCGAGGGTCACAGGCGCAGAGGTGGCCGACCACTCCACACACAAATTCGACCTACATACATACTCCATAGCATGGTATGTAGTCTAGACTTAACAGCACACTCGATCGGACCTGTCGTTTAGCGTCTTACCGGGATAACTCGGCGAGTCTTGTTCGCGCCGCTGAGGGGCGTGAGGTATGGGGCTCCACAAAAGGGGGGCCAGGTTCGCAATGCGCATGCACACACAGGATCGGTGGGAGAAAATCACGGTACCTGAAGAGAACAAGCAAGAGGATCGCACTTGTCGTGTCCCTCGGGGCTATCTAAGTGAGAAAGAGCAACGTTGTCGACAGCAGTGTATACAAAGACCAAAGGACTACTGTCCGCAAATCACCTCATCTACAGCAGCTGTACTCAGTCTGTGCACCAGACCTGCTGTCTCTGAACGCGAGCCAGAGAGAGTGACGAAGGCTGCGCCCGCCAAGTTATCGTTGGTTCTGATGTTCTCATGCCTAGATGTCTAAGATCTACATGTGAGATCTAGACCTTGTAAGATCTAAGATCTTGATAATGTGCCGTTTCTCTGTAGTCCCGCCGCATTTTGCATGTTGGTTCGGGGAAGTGGTCGTCGCGTCCCCGGCCAGGAGAGAGAGGCAGCAGAGCAGCAGAGCAGCAGAGACAGAGCAGTGCGGGGCCCAAAGACGCAAAGAGGGAGGGAGGTAGGGAGAGAGGGAGAGAGGGAGAGAGAACTGACCTATCTCACGCTTGGTGGAGGTTTTGGTCTTGGCGGACGAGGATCCTTGGCACCATGTGGTTGATCTTCCAAACCAGGCACGTGAAAAAATGTCCGCAAATTCGCAGCAGCAGTATACCAAACGGCTCGTTTACATGTTTCGGCACGCAGCAGCAGCGACAACACCACGATTAGTCGGGGGGGAAGGAGGAAGAGGTATTTACCACGCTTTTGATGGAGTGAAAGAGTGCCCATTGCCTCTGAGAATCGTAGGGAAAGTCCACAGCAAACACCTCATTACACAACCGTCTTGTTTTGTAGATTGTAGCCGTTGTAGGGTCCATAAATACAACATGTTTCCACCAACCGACCCAGCTGCGCACCTGGCACTCGGTTCGGTGCACTGCTCTGTTCGTTACTACCTACTTATACAGGTTCTTGAACACCGCCGTGTGTGCGATCCGCCCGACGTGTGTGTGTAAGGGGCGTGTTGCGTTGTGGCCCTCATAGTGTAGTAGCGGTTGACGCCAATGGTTCTGGGCGGCGAAAGAGCCGGATCTAGTAGGGACGGTGGGCGGTGGGTCAGTCGTCGCAGACGGTGGAGCGCGTTGCATCGCAGAACCCCGCTCTTGCAAGTACTGTACTGCTGTTCGAGGATCTCTCGTCGGCGAGGTGGCATGGGGTTCAGTGGTACTGAATTTCAGTGTTAAGCGTGTCTTTGGAGATGATACAGCAGTAGCTCGCGACGAGATGGGAACTTTTTACCAACGATACAAGTCCTCAGGGCAGTTGTCCTGGATTGTTATCACACTTGCAGTACTGTAGGCAAACTGATGTACTGTATGCACAGCAATGTGAGAACGCCAGAAAAATCCGGCTGTTCTTACCTGGCCACCCGTTGCTTTTCTTTTCCATCCCTATCCCTTGCACCGCCGAAACACCACAAGCAGCAAGTACCCGCTATTGTCACAGGGACGACAAGTTTCACTGCCGAAGCACGATTATAACAAGCAACGACGGCGAGTCCGGGCGTAAGACAGCTAGCCGCATAGACAGCTGGCTCAGCTCCGCAACCGCTGGAAAAATCGGACCAGCATCTTGCTCCAGCGAGCCACCGGAGTCATCCACGGAGTCCCGTGCCATCACGTCAGCATGGCACCCCCGAGGATACAAAAGGATAACAACAACGGCGACGATAGCGACAGCAGCAGCAGCAGCAGCAGCAGCAGCAGCAGCAGCAGCAGTAACAACAACAACGTCGCCAAGGCCCCAAACGCGCATTGGATCAACCTCGGCTACTCCAAGTACTATCCCGGCACGGCCCCGACGCCGCACCCCTGTAGCATCACCAGGGCCTACCCAGAGCCACCCCTGCTGATCGCGCGGCGTAACGCAGCAGCTACAGCTGCAGGAGAAACAGCATCAGGACGTGTGCGCTGGTGTGGGGCTTGAGCTTCTCGTCCATAATTGACGTGTTTAGCCGCAATCTGTAGTACCCAGTTCGTCACGTCGGCCTGCTATTTGTGAATGGTTTCGTGTATTTCATGTTCCTCGAAGACCTCTACCAACTTTCGACTCGCGGTGTTTTTGGGCCTTTTCGGGTGATGGCTTTAGGTTTGTTCTCAATCTATCTAGGTGTTTCCGCCGGCAGTGCTGTTTGTGTCTTGCGTCAGCGCTCGCCTCGGGACTGAGGCGTCGTGTTCCTGAGAAGCCGGTCGTTCGACCGAAGTCAAACTTACGGGAGAGCGGGAAGAAAACTCGATATTCACCGCTTCAACCGTTTCGCTTAATAGTTCTCATCATGCCCCCCCCCTCACCAGTCTCAGGCGGCGGTGGTAGTAGCGGTAACGGACCGAGGAGCAACCGCAAACGGCGGCGCAATCAAAGAGAAGGTGACGACGAAGAGGAGGAGGAGGAGGAGGAGGAAGAGGAAGAGGAGGAGAAAGAAGCGACCCCGCGCGGAGGAGGCACGGTCATCATCCCGAGAGGGTAAAGGTGTGCGTAGTTGTCGTTGTGCTTGGACTCCACGACACGCATGCATGTGTCGTGGCGGGTAATTAGGATGCGTTCCTGCGAGCGCACACGGAAGGAAGGAGGGTGGGAAACCTCCACCGACGTCGATGTGTACGACTCGTTGGACTCTCACGCTAACGGCTCTTTTGTTCGACACATATTAAACATTTTTTGGAGTCTTCATCTGGTACGCGCGTGCCTGCCACCGCGGTCACCAACCCATCCTCCTCCGCCGGTAAAAAGTCAGCCTGACAAATATATTGTACTTCGAAGTAGATGAGAAATTGAGCCGGAATTTTACCTACAATATCTATATTTTCCGCGATCGGTCGTCCGATCGTGGACTTACCTGAGGATGGTGCGCATGCTTGTGAGACGTGATTCTTGCGGTGTTTTCATCAGAAACGCCCTCCCATTGAAAAATTTTAATCGAAAAGTCGCAAGAAGAGTGGGGAACGCAGGGGAGGAACCCTATATCTCCCCCGGGTGTTGAGGTATGGTATATGGTGTCCTTCGGAAGTAGTATGTAGCAGACAACGCTCGTACAGCATATAATACTTGGAGTGACACGCACCGATAGACAGAGAGAGAGAGAGAGAGAGAGAGACAGAGAGAGAGACACCCGTCAGCCATTTCCCGTCCTTGTTTTCCCTCAATACTTGAGCCCTTCCGCCGACCTCCCTCACTATTTGACATGGAAAGTACGCTTCGTTGATGCGTCTCCTCTTCTTCCTCGTTTCACCCATTTCGTCACGATTTTTCAGGCCGAACCCTCTGACGGAGGAAGCAGATCTAGCGCTGGCCGGTCGCAAGGCCATGGTAGCAGGCGGGGAGTGCCCCATTTGTCAGGGCTTGCTTCCAGACGAGGAAAGGGGTATCCTCAGATGCGTGAGTGCTGCCGCTGTCCCCCGCCCGTCACCTTCGATTGGAACGATCCTCTCTCCTCCACAGAACCACGTGTTCTGCTTCAAGTGCATCCACAAGTGGACGAAGACCGAAAGCGCGTGCCCCGTTTGCCGAGTTGAGGTCAGGTCCATCACCAAGACACTCTCCCTGAGGGAGATCGAGCAGTTCAACGTTCGCACGCCTGTGAGTTCGTTCTTATGCTTGGCATGGTGGTGGTTACTGTTCCGACGAACGGAGTGCTCTCTTTGTACACCCTGACGTCGTTATGTTTTTTTTATTTCGTGTGATGCGTACAGTACAACTGTAGTTGGTTTGTGGTTGCTGTTTGTTTCGGCTTTCGCGAATATTGTGATAGTATGCATTTTTCGATCACCCAGGACAGAACCCTCGCTAAACTAAAACATTCTAGGGTTAATCGTTGCCCATCGATTTAATCATGATTGCCCTCAACACGAAAGACAAGCCTCACCACGTAAGACAAGAGATACCTCCTCCCCCACCCCCCTGACAATTCGTTGCCTCGGCGATAGTCCGCAGAGGTCTCTTTTCCTCGAAACAAGGCACCTACAGAAGAACGCCTCTTCTTGTAGTAAGGAATCCACAACGAAAATTCGACTTACGGTACCCACAAAGGTGGTATGCATCGTTGTCTTGTCTAAAGCCTTTGTCTCAAACCTGTGCCCAAGCCGCAAGGCAGGTTCTTCAATCGTTCGTAAGCCTCGTGAGCCTCTTGCAACAGCAAAAACAGAGACCAAGTCAACTTCTTTTTTTCGTCTATTCTTCTCTTGTTTCGTGTGCGTTTGTGTGATTCCAGCACGACCCTAGCCAAGTCCGGACGAAGGCCCAGATAAAGCGGGCGAGAGCCAAGAGGTTCAAGTGCAGAAAACCGGCGAGTGTGGTGTTCGATGATATATATGTACGAGTTTTTAGAACATAATTCCCGCGTGCCCTTGGTAAAGGCTTAGATGGGGACACTTGTTCGTGGTGATGTTTTGCTTTCTGTGTACTTGAAAGGCAGAGAGTATCCCCGAAGAATTCCTCGACGTGCACTTCAACCACTAAAGTTTCGTTTTGACTGTTGTTGTCGGCCGGCATCTGCTACCGTCGGTCGCACAAGATGTCACCCCCCTCTTGACTGATTTGCAACGCTGGATTACTCCACAACCAAGAGGATGCCGAAAGCTAACGATACGTGTTCGGAAAGGTCTCGACGGGACGGCTTCAACTCCGCCATTTTCGGCACCGTCACTGCTTTTCCTGCCGAGTAGTCAAGCTTTGAAAATCGGTGTCCAGGGGGTGTGATATCTTATGCAACCTACGGTATTTTACTGCTGCTCTTGATTGCTTTCCTTGACTTCGTCTTCGCTCTCTGGGGTGAGTGTGAGTATGAAGCGCACGCGGCATAGCGAACTTTCTTTTCGGTGCTAAAGGCTCCGTGTCAGCGAGCTGCGTCGCATGTAGACAACTGTTGCAAGTTGTAGCTGGAAGGGTTTGCGCAAGGGGGTCATATGCCAGTACGAAGCACACGGACGCTCAGCGTATTGCGGTTTGGCTGCAAGAAGCATTCGCATTTCTTTCTTTCTCTCTCTTGCGCACGTACGCGCACGGATAAATTTCTCTGTTTAGTGCTATAGTCCCGCACCATATCGCCACGTCTATGGGATAGATGTGAGGGGTTACCACGGCGTGAAAGGCCTGAAAAACAGGTAGGGACAACCTCGCAATGATACACGTTCAACTTGCCCTACTCCCCGCCGTTCTCTTGCCCGAGGTAACCCCCGGAGGAACAATCAGTATCGGTTTCTGAACAGTAAAAGACGGTCCGCACACCCCGGGGGATATGGTGGGTGTGGCAAGGCCGGGCACAATATTCAACTTAGTGACTTGGATTTCTATGCTACGGTGGTGCAGCACCTTGTAAACCTACGCTTACGACGGTGCGAAATATCAACGCCTGTCATATGTACAAAACCTGCTGCTGTGAACGGGCAGATTCCTTTCACCGTGACGAAGGCCGTACGGGTGAAGCTTAGGACCCAGATGAAGGAGATGAATCGCCTCCTGGCTGACGCTCCGCACCCGCAGGTGTGTGTGTGCGTGTGCGTGTGTGTGAGAAGAGAGGGGGGGGGGGGGGCGTACTCATTTGTTGCTTGCCGTAGTCATTTGACCATTGACCACGCGTCCCTTTCGAGACGGAGCACCGTTCCTACACCTACTAGAGACACCACCAACATTTGGGAGCTCTTTACGTTTCTGCCACAAACTCCATAAAAATTTCTTGCACATCTTATCCCCGTCCTCTAGGGCCTCTTGTGCCCACCATCTATCCCCAATTATCGCGATCGTTTTTTCGCTGTTGTCTAACTTACCAAACTTGTCCATGTCACACCCTCTCTGTCTCATTTCCTCCTCGAGATCCTCTCTTTCCTTCCTGTACAACTCACACTCCCCAACTATGTGGGGTCTACTCTCCTCCGATTTGCCACATGGACATGTGTGTCTATCCTCCTCTTCCTCTCTCCTACGGCTGGTATACCTCTTCCTCCGTTCTGGCAAGTCCAGATCGCCTACTCGAAATTGCAATTTCAGCTTTTTCGCATAGTCCATGGGGCCGTCCAAGTACTTCTTCATCCCTATCCCTTCTTTCAACTTCCCGTATATCTCCAAGTGGTCTTCGCTTCGTACCTTCTTCCAAAGGGTTGCCTCCTCCCTACTCTCTAGCATCTCCTTGACTTTCGTCTTGAACCCCCCGAACCCTTCCGTGTCCAACGTCTCCTCCTCGTCTCCTATCTCCTTCCAAACCTTCTCTACCACCTTGTCCCATCTGATTCCCTTCTTCCCTGGAGTCGCT